TAGCATGTGCTCTTGTGTCCATCTCCTTTCACTCAGCATCATGTCTTTGAGATTTTTCGTGACTGTTCTTCAGTAGTTTTAATCTCTTTTTTTTTTTTTTTTTTGAGAGGGAGTCTTGCTCTGTTGCTCAGGCTGGAGTGCAGTGGCGCAATCTCAGGTCACTGCAACCTCTGCCTCCCAGGTTCACGCAGTTCTCCTGCCTCAGCCTCCTGAGTAGCTGGGACTACAGGTCTGTGCCACCACACCCAGCTCATTTTTATATTTTTAGTAGAGACGGGGTTTCACTGGACAGGCTGGTCTTGAACCCCTGACCTCAGGTAATCCACCCGCTTCGGCCTCCCAAAGTGCTGGGATTATAGACGTGAGCTACCACACCTGGCCAGTTTATGCCTTTTTAATGTTGAGCAACATTCATTACAATCTGTGACTACAACACAATTTCTTTATCTATTTTCCTGTTAATGGACTTTTTGATAGTTTCCAGCTTTGGGCTACCATGAATAAAGCTGCTATGAAATTCGAATTCTTAGGCTGGGTGTGGTGGCTTGCTTCTGTAATCCCAGCACTTTGGGAAGCTGAGGCGCAAGGATTGCTTGAGCCCAGGAGTTTGAGACCAGGCTGGGCGACATACAGCCTGGTCTGTATGTCTTATGAAGAAAGACTTTTAGTATGTTTTTTCTCTCTACAGAAAAAAAAAAAAAGACCGGGGCATGGTGGCTCACTCCTGTAGTCCTAGCTACTTGAGAGGCTGAGATGGGAGCATTGCTTGAGCCTGGGAAGTTGAGGCTGCAGTGAGCCGTGATCACACCACTGCGCTCCAGCCTAGGTGACAGAGCAAGACCCTGTCTCAAAAAACAACTAAAGAAATATAGAATTTCTACTTGTGCATAGATGTTTTCATTTTTTCTTTTTTTTTTTTGAGATGGAGTTTCGCTCTTGTTGCCCAGGCTGGAGTGCATTGGCATGATCTCAGCTCACCACAACCTCCGCCTCCCGGGTTCAAGCGATTCTCCTGCCTCAGCCTCCAGAGTAGCTGGGACTACAGGCGTGTACCACCACACCTGGCTAATTTTTTGTTATGTTTTTATTTTTTCTTAGGCAGTTACCTAGAAACAGAATCACTGGGTCAAAGGGTAGGTATATGTTTGACTTTACAAGAAACTGACAAGCCTTTTCTCAAAGGGATTGTAGCTTTTTATTTTATTTTTTTATTTTATTATTTTTTTGAGACAGAGTCTCCCTCTGTCGCCCAGGCTGGCTATCTCAGCTCACTGCAAGCTCCAACTCCTGGGTTTACGCCATTCTCTTGCCTCAGCCTCCCGAGTAGCTGGGAGCACAGGTTGCCCGCCACCAGGCCTGGCTAATTTTTTTTATTTTTATTTTTTAGTAGAGATGGGATTTCACCATGTTAGCCAGGATGGTCTCCATCTCCTGACCTCATGATCCGCCCACCTTGGCCTCCCAGAGTGCTGGGATTACAGGGGTGAGCCACCGTGCCCGGCCTGTAGCTTTTTACATTACCACCAGCGAAGAATGAAAGTTCCAGTTGCTCCCTATTCTCTCCAGCATTTGATGTTGTTATTCTTTGAAGTTTAAGCCATTCTGGTGATTGTATGGAATTATCTCCTGCTAGTTTTAGTTTCTACTTCCCTGATGACTAATGATGAACACTTGATCGTGTACTTACTGGCCATTCATGTATCTTCATTTATGAACTGCCTGTCCAAGTTTTTGCCCCTTTAAAAATTTATACCTTGAGAAACAAGCTATCCTAAGGGAGAAAAAAAGAAAAAATAATTTAAAACATTAGGCTGTTTGCTTTTTTATTGAATTTAGGAGTTCTGTATATATTCTGTATAGACGTCTTTTATCAGATGTGTTTTACAGGTAGTTTCTCCAAGTCTGTGGTTTGCTTATCCATTTTCTTTATGGCATCTTTTCATGTGCTGAAGTGTTTTATGTCAGTGAAGTCCAATTTATGGAATTTTTTGTGGTTATTGTTTTTTGCTTTCTGTCTTAGAATAAATTTTTGCCTATTTACAGGTTGTGAATATATTCTCCTGTATTTTTTTCTAAAAATCTTTATCATTTTAACTTTTTACATTTAGATCTGTGATCCATCTTAAATTAATTTTTGTGAATGGTGAGCGGTAGGGATCAAGCATCATTTTTTTTTCCCCCAAATGAATATCCAGTTGTTCCAGTATCATTTGTTAAAAAAAAGACTTTCTTTGCCCTCAGTGGATTATTTTGCCGAAAGCTAATTGACTGCAAAAGTGTAGGTCTGTTTTGGACTCTCTATTCTGTTTCATTGCCCTCTTTGACTGTCATTATGCCAATACTATACTGTTTTGATTACTGTAGCTCAAAAGTAAATGTTGAAGTTAGATATTAAAAGTCTTTCTTCTTCTTTTTTTTTTTTGAGACAGAGTCTCGTTCTGTCGCCCAGGCTGGAGCGGAATGGTGTAATCTCCGCCTTCTGGTTTCAAGCAATTCTCCTGCCTCAGCCTGCTGAGTAGCTGGGATTGCAGGCACCCACCACCACGTCCAGCTAACTTTTGTATTTTTAGTTGAGACAGGGATTCACCATGTTGGTCGGGCTGGTCTCAAACTCTTGACCTCAGGTGATCCACCTGCCTTGGCCTCCCAAAGTGCTGGGATTATAGGCGTGAGGTACCGTGGCCGGCCTCTTCATGTTTTTAAAGACAATTTTGCCTACTCTAGGTCCTCTGTACATCCATATACATTTTAGAATCAGCTCATTTTTTTTTTTTTCTGTGAGGATTCTAGGAGTATAGCTCATTAATTCTATTAAAAAATAAAACCAACTGGGCACAGTGTGTCACGCCTGTAATCACAGCACTTTAAGAGGCTGAAGTGGGCTGATCACGTGAGCCCAGGAGTTCAAGACCAGCCTGGACAACATGGTGAAACCACATCTTGACTGAAAATACAAAAATTAGCCAGGTGTAGTGGCACACACCTGTAGTCGCAGCTGCTTGGGAGGCTGAGGTGGGAGGATTGCTTGAGCCTCGGGGGTGGAGACTTCAGTGAGGCAAGATCATGCAGCTGCACTCCAGCCTGGGTGACAGAGTGAGAACCTGTCTCAAAAAAAAAAAAAAAAAAAGGCCGGGCGCGATGGCTCACACCTGTAATTCCAGCACTTTGGGAGGCCGAGGCGGGCAGATGATGAGGTCAGGAGATCAACACCATCCTGGCTAACAACAGTGAAACCCCGTCTATACTAAAAATACAAAAAATTAGCTGGGCTTTGTGGCAAAAATTATTCATTTTTGAATAATAACTCAACCTTGCATTCCCAGTATAACTGGGATTCCCCACTTAGTCATAACATGCGATCAGTT